GGAGTCGTTTATCTGAGGGTTTATGATCTGAGGTCAGTCTGAATCACCTGTAGAATCGGTTCAGGAGTCGTTTATCTGAGGGTTTATGATCTGAGGTCAGTCTGAATCATCTGTAGAATCAGTTCAGGAGTCGTTTATCTGAGGGTTTATGATCTGAGGTCAGTCTGAATCATCTGTAGAATCAGTTCAGGAGTCGTTTATCTGAGGGTTTATGATCTGAGGTCAGTCTGAATCACCTGTAGAATCAGTTCAGGAGTCGTTTATCTGAGGGTTTATGATCTGAGGTCAGTCTGAATCACCTGTAGAATCGGTTCAGGAGTCGTTTATCTGAGGGTTTATGATCTGAGGTCAGTCTGAATCATCTGTAGAATCAGTTCAGGAGTCGTTTATCTGAGGGTTTATGATCTGAGGTCAGTCTGAATCACCTGTAGAATCAGTTCAGGAGTCGTTTATCTGAGGGTTTATGATCTGAGGTCAGTCTGAATCACCTGTAGAATCGGTTCAGGAGTCGTTTATCTGAGGGTTTATGATCTGAGGTCAGTCTGAATCACCTGTGGAATCGGTTCAGGAGTCGTTTATCTGAGGGTTTATGATCTGAGGTCAGTGGAAAAAGCTGACAGATACACTCACTTCTCTTTTAAAACTGACGAGTGATCCTGCTGTTTTATAAGGCAGATAAAAGATGTTATCAGTGAATGTTTCCCCACAGGAGTGAAAACGTTAAAAAAAAACGAATTTTGCATCAGCTTGGAGAAATTCCCCTCTCTCTCTCTCTCTCTCTCTCTCTCTCTCTCTCTCTCTCTCTCTCTCTCTCTCTCTCTCTCTCACACACACACACACACACACATTTTTTTTCTATACTTGTGGGGACATTCCATAGGCATAATAGTTTTTATACTGTACAAACTGTATATTCTGTTCCCCTACTACTCTAACCCTATGCATCACACACACACACGCGCACCCACACACACTTGTCTGTTACAGTGCCCATATGAGGGCAGGTTTGTCTGAACACAGCAGCGTTTTCTCTGCGGGAGACGAGCAGCCAATTATCCGTCTCTGTGTGTCTCTCTTACACACACACACACACACATACATAATCAGCCAATCATCCATCTCGGTGTGTCTGAAGGGCATCACCACATCCCTCCACATTCCCAGACTATCCTTCCGGAATAAGCTCACACACAGACACACACACCCTCACACACAACATAAACACGACAAAGTCAAAACATGAGTGTTAAATGCCAACAGGTTTCCCCGTTCCCTCCAGGAGCGTCTCACATCAGCCGCTGTTCCAGGACGGACAATTAGCAGTTTTCCACAACACGTCTGGAAGAGTTTTCCACATTTACTGTAAGCGTTTACTGTAGGTAGACGGACGAGAGACACCGGAACACTGAGTAAAAGTGAGAGAGAGAGAGAGTGGACAGAACCCTTCCCAAACGCTCTGGTGTGACATTCCTCTCCGATCCTGACGCTGTCGCGAGTTACCGTGGAGATCACACACACACGCACGCGCGTCTGGAGCCCGTCATCAAGACAAACTCCGGAAAACTCACACTTTGCTGGATGACGTCGGATTGTGTTTCCTCTGTCTGTCTGTCGTGAGGGATTGTTTAATGCATAAAATAGTAAACAGTACATCGCACTAACCCTGACTTTAACATCTAACCTCACTTCCCATTCGGCCAAACACACGTTTACAACGATCTGTTCTGTGAAAATTGTGTCCCATGGAAAAATCTGAAGTGCTGATTATGACAAAATCCAAAATGTAATGTCTGTATCATGTCATGATATATTGAGTGATCAACTGAACTCTATATATGAAGCCTTTACAGTTTATTTTTTGATGATTCAAGATCATTGTAATATAATTATTATATAAACATAATTATGGTCAAACACACTCACTCACTCACTCACTCACTCACTCCTTTTAAAGCCAGATGAAGAGTTTGACAGCTCAAGGAATGAGAGCATGAGCTGTAAAAGCATTGATCTGTGTGTATGTGTGTGTGTGTGTGTGTACAGCTGGAGTCCCTGTGACAGGCCCCGCCTCCAGTTTCCTCCACACTGACCTCTGACCCGAACGGAGCACTGACTCACACACACCGCTCTAATGCGACACCACCTCGTTCACGGGATGCCCGAGGCCAGCGAGAATCTATACTATAAATGTAAAAAAATATTTCTATGTTACTATTACATGACATCAGTGCATTTTTGTGTACTTACTGTACTAAACTTTTTAGATGCAAGTTTGATGTATTTTATTCATTTATTCACATTATTATAATTTATATAGAATTATATTTAAATAAAATTAGATAAATGTATATTTAATTAAAATTATATTTAAATACAAATAATACATTATAATTTAATTAATTTTAATCCATTTGTTTATTTAATTGAATTAATTTCTTATTTATTAAAAAATGCATTTATCGATTAATTTTAATTAATATTTAATTTTAATCAAATGTATTTATTTTTAATGTTATTTAAATTTTTGACAATTTTAAAATAAATTGTCAAATCCATCACCCAAACACACTAGAATAAGCAGAGTTTATGAAGGGTTAGTTTCGAGTGTGTGTGTGTGTGTGTGTGTGTCTCCCGATGGACTCTACTCTGTAACATCAGAAACATTTCCTCTGACTCACAGACTCCGTTCTGGACAAATATAGACACACACTCATCCCGTCACATCCCAGCAGGGTTGGGGAAACTTACAGGCGTTTAGGGGTTCCTGTAGAGCGGTGTTGTGTTAGCGGCCCCTAAATTAATAACGAATGATCTTTGCGACGGAAGTGAATCAATTAAAACTAACTTTATCTGGACAATAACTTCTGAATAACAATAACACATCTCCTGTTAGTTATTGTTGGTTTAACATAATAAAGTAAGTTACCTGGATGCCTTAAAATTTTGAGTTTGTTGAAATTAAATGTTGAAATTGAGTCGATACAGTGAAGGAGATTTAATTAACATACACTCAAAATATTATGTTTTCTGAACCACGTTAATTATCTAAGTTGATTTGACAAAAGATAAAGTTGAGATACAGTAAATCATGAAAATAATTGTTTACAGTGACTGTGAAGCTGCTTTGAAACAATCTATATAGTTAAAAGCGCTGTAACTTTTAAAAGTAATGCATTACATGATTGCGCTTCTCCCCATAAAAGTTACTTAACTACTTTTTATGAAGTAGTGCGTTACACTGCTTTTGTGTTATTTTGGCTAGCTTGTTTTTTTTGTAATAACAACAAAAAAGTTATATTTTTGGCAAATGTTTCACTATTTTCACACTGAAAGTGAAGTGAATGAAGGAAATGCAGATTTACTCCTGTACAGTACTAGAATAGTAGATGCAGATTTACAGTAGAGCGTACAGTAGAGCGTACATTGGAGCGTACAGTGGAGCGTACAGTAGAGCGTACAGTAGAGCGTACAGTGGAGCGTACAGTAGAGCGTACAGTGGAGTGTACAGTGGAGCGTACAGTAGAGCGTACAGTGGAGTGTACAGTGGAGCGTACAGTAGAGCGTACAGTGGAGCGGCTGAGATGTCGCCCAAACGCACGAGATTAGGATCATTACGGCTAATTCATGAGTATTTATGGAGGATTACGGGATTCTGAGGAGCAGACCTGCAGTTTTCCGTCCCAGAAGCTCTGAGTAACTGAGTCAACACATGAAGAATGTTCAGTCCGAGACACCAGACCCATCTGGCATAATCGCATTTACATATTTGCAAAATGAAGAAATAGTGAGTATGAATAGCGTCTACTATTGAGCGAGTCGTCACGATGCAAGGAAAACATTTCCACCACAAGGAAAACATGAGCGAAGTGGAGGAGAACGTGCATCTCAGCCTCATGATCAAACACACAACAGCGTATTAATGCTGAATATAAAACACCAACACAAAATATGGATTTGTTTTGATAACATGTTTTATATCTGAATGCTTTTCCTTTATATTGTTGTATTTCTCTTTTATTTATTTTTTTTTCTTATTTTTGTGAAGCGCTTTGAGATGTATCTTTTAAAGGCACCATAGAAAATAAAGTTCATTATAATTATTATTATATTATTATTACTGTATTTATACATTTTTGTTAATGTTAACTGTTCATAGTCATAGTTCATGTTATAAATAGCAATGTTTATTAATGTATATTAATTAATAAATGCATGTGTATTAATGATAATGGAATGTTTATAGAGTGCTTTTCACAGATAAAATCACAAAGTGTAAGCAAAATAATAAAATAATATACATTCAAAAAAATATTTAATTTAAAAGAGCCCAAAATAACACCCAGTCAACTAAAAGCTTGTTTAAATAACAGAGTTGCCTTTTAGGAGAATCATAATCGTTCTACATCTGAACATGAGGAAATTAAAGCACGGATAACCATCTCAAGATCAGAGTCCCATAAAATTGCAATTTTGCAATATTTATCAGATGATAAAAAACAATTTCTGACCAAAAGTCTGGAACAGCAGAGACACCGACTGGTCAGACCAGACGCAGAGATTACCAAACACATGTTGGTTACCACATAACTTTACTTCCATTTGTGTGATTCCACAGTTTTATTGAGTTTATTATTCATATGTTCCATACAGTAGAATAATAAAGAAAGAGGAGTAGTGTTCAGACAAACTGGTATTGCAGATCTCAACACAAGTGAGTCACTGAGGTTTTTGAGAAAGCCACAGTCTCGTAACATGTCCCTCATTTTCTCTCTCTCTCTCTCAGTGGAGGCGCGTGTCCGCGGTAGGAGAGCCTCAAAACACAGGCGAGGGGGAAAAAACAGAATCTTTATGAAGTCACTTCCATTACGTCATGCGCCTGTAATGTTAATGGTGCGCGCTGTGATTGGTCGGCGGCTGCAGCGCTCGCGCGTGACGTCACCGCGCGCGCACTATATGTACCTCGCGCCTGGAAGCGCACTAACAGAAAGTGTGACTATTAATCTTCAGCATGAAGCCTTGTGTTGTGCTCGTGTTCGTCCTGTTCTCTCTCGTGTGTCTGATGAACCAGGCGTCGGACGCGTGTTCATGCGCGATGTCTCATCCACAGGACGCGTACTGCAACTCCGACATCGGTAAGTGTGTGTGTGTGTGTGTGTGTGTGTGTGTCTGTGTGAGTAGCGAGTTATTCATAACACAGCACTGTGACTGTGAGATGCATATTATGTAACAGTCAGCGCATATTTACTCAACATCAGCGCGCGCAGATGTTCTTCTTCACCCGCGCGCGTCCGTTCTCCTGTAGCGTTGTGTTATAACGCCTCATCATCATAAGATAAAAAACGGATCTAATATCGTTTAAACTCAAGTGCGTCATTGCGCGTTTAGTCAAACACGAGAAGCGGAAAGTTTTTGCGGTATCCATGGCAACAAACGCGAACGCCGAACGCAACTCGAGATGTTGTTTTTCATACTTCTCCCTCGTATTTAAGTGATCCTAAAATATACTATTACTTGAATATTTGGAGTTTCTAAAACGTTTAACGTGCCTTGATAGAGCAATACAGTGATGCATGCATAAGAGCTAATGTTAACTATATACTGGCGAACACATGAGCGCGCATATGAACGCAAACTGCTAAATTGCGCGTGTCTGATTATGCAAACTATCAACAACAAGCGGAATGTGAATGAAGCTCACTTTATATGGATATTAAGCTTTCTTTACAACGAGAGTGAACACGAAACTTCATATTCTGGGCTCATCTGTGCGCCTGTATGGGCAGGATCTGAGATTTGGTCCATCTGAAGTGATTCGCATGTTATGATGTTGGAATATCTGTGATGTTTTCATAAGGGTTTAATGAAGATGATGAGGTCTAGTTCACCGCAGTAATACATCTCAATCACTGCAGCACAAATGATCTAAACTAGCAGAAAACATTAACCCTGAGATCAGGGCTCCTCTGATTTAAAAGGAGTTCAGACCATTAACGAAAACTATAATTATAATTATAATAATTGTAATTATAATAACAATATTAGTGTTATCATTCTGTTTATTATAAGATGTCTGTCTTTTTAAATCCTCGCACTCTTTAAAGCAAGATGGGTTCTGATTGGCCGTCAGTGTTTCTATTCTTCATTCTGATTGGCTTTCAGAATTTTTATTGTTAAAGTTGTGGTGTTACTCTGCTATTCTCTATGGCCTTGTCCACGTGGACACGGGTATTTTTATAACCAGCGTTTTTACTTTAAAAAAAAATTGCGTCCACATGAAAACGCAAAAACGCGCTAAGCGCGGTCGAGAGCATGCCACACCAGCAGGCGGTGATATAACCCTAACTGTAAAGCCACGGTGGCCAATCAGAAGGCTAACAAAAAGTTATTACAGGTTCCGGTAGGGGGATAACGACGCAGCGTGGATGCACACTTTGACATCGCAAAAACCCCGGTTTTACTGTCTACACGACACCACCACTGTAACTGGCGTTTCTGAAAATCCTCACCCTGGCAGGGGTTTTCAAAATGTCTGTGTCCTGATACTGCGTTTCCGTGTGGACGAACGGTCGAACCGCGTAAAAAAACGTTTTAGCGTTCATTCCGATTGGCTGTCGCCATTTTTAGCGTTCATTCCGATTGGCTGTCGCCGTTTTTAGCGTTCATTCCGATTGGCTGTCGACGTTTTTAGCGTTCATTTCGATTGGCTGTCGACGTTTTTAGCGTTCATTCCGATTGGCTGTCGCCGTTTTTAGCGTTCATTCCAATTGGTTGTTGGTGTTTTTAGCGTTCATTCTGATTGGCTGTCGGTGTTTTTAGCGTTCATTCTGATTGGCTGTCGGTGTTTTTTTCTTTCATCTGATTGGCTGTCTGCGTTTTTAGCATTCATTCTGATTGGCTGTCGGCGTTTTTATCGTTCATCTGATTGGCTGTCGGCGTTTTTAGCGTTCATTCTGAACGCTCTATAAGTGATTCCAGCGATATAGTTCCTCTGTCATTATAATGATGCATATTACAATCCCATAACAATAAAAATGAATCTATTTCAAGATAAAGAGAGTAAATTTGACACTATTAAAAACTAGGTAATTGTTTTGAAATATTGGTGATTTTGCTCAGATTTGGACACATTATAATGGACTTAATGCGGTTTCTTTCTAGTCAAAATGTAATAACTTCCTCATCACCTTCCCTCAGTTATCAATCTCCTTTCATAGAATATAATCGGCTTATTTTACCAGCGTTTCATGTTGACGTTAGCGTGTCCTGCTATGTTTAACAGGTTTCAAGGTCCCGCTCGGATGAAATGGGAGCCGGACTGTCTGGTTAAGAGGCCACGTATGACTTGCATACTGATGATGTGTTTGTGGATAAACTAGATATTGAGATGTCCCATAAAATGTGACTTTGGCTTTGTGCTGGTGTTCATGCTGTATGAAAGGCAGAGACTGTGGCTATTGTGAGCGTGTCTGAATCGGTGGCGGGACGCCAGGCGCACAGATTTCCTCCAGAACTACAGAATGCAGGAGGCTTTGCTCTCCGCTGCCATGTGTAACATATTTCCAGAGGCATCAGATGGAGCAAAGGCTTCTGGGTAACAAAGAGCTGGAGAGAATAATGGAGCATGCGCTTTAAACCTACATGAGGCGAGAAACTGCACAATTAATAATGCATCGAAATCAGTGAATGAAACATTTCTGCAATAATCAATTAATCAAATTATGTTTTTTAAGTTTATCCAAACGAAAAAAACAAATTTTTACTTTAAAAAGTGCGAAAACATTTAAACTGCACATAATGCCGTTTTTAATGATATTAGCGTTCGGAAAAACAAAAACGATTATATAATATGAACATTAAAACGGTGGCAGTAATAAAAACGTCAGATTAATTCAAATGTACAAATGTTTTTCAAAGCTGTAAATTAAATGTGTTTTTTACAAGAAAAAGCTAAATCTCATGTTTGAATCTAATGTGTTACTTGCTGTAATTGTGAAATTTACTTTTTTACACCAAATTTTTGTATCTTAAATCAGTATAAATATCATTCATATGCAATATAGTGTATCAGAATGCATCTTTCCAACTAACTAAGTGTGAATATTCTGTGTTGCGCACACTACTGCAGCTTTGAGCTGGGCTGAGATCGGGCCGTTTATCCGTCTCGTTCCCTCGCTTGACTTCAAAGCGCCGGCGGACGGATGATTTACGACTCGCGTGTTTAAGTGCCTCGCGCTCTGTAATCAACGCACGGGAGATGAATCACAAATGTGCTCCTTAAATCATCACATCACAGGCACAGAAACACAGCACATGCACAAACTGTGAAACACCATGAGCGCCACATTCCTCATCGACACGCATTAAACACGCCAATAGCGGTGTCTGCTAATACGGCCTCCAGAATGAGTTAGCAGTGCCGATCTCGCATGTTGGCAGGGTTTTTGAAGGCAATTGAAACGCTCTATTCACTCTGAAGGCCTTTCAAGCTCCAGATTAGTGTTTTGCCCTACACTTTGGCCCCTGGAGTTTAATACCTCGCCAACGGAGGGAGGTCTGGTTCCCATCTGACGTGGCGATGGGGTGAGATGCTCTGGTTAAACATCACACCAACTCGTGCATGAGTGGAAAATCATTTACCAATGCTTGTATCAAGCCGCTTGCCTTGCGTTCGCATTTGATCAGTTTTCCGTTAATCGAACGCATGATCTACAAAGGTGAAACTTAAATATCATGCAAAAGTTCAGGAATTAGAACTTAAAAGGTGAAACTAACATATTATATTATAGACTCATTACATGCAAAGTGAGATATTTCAAGCCTTTATTTGTTATAATGTTGATACAGATATGAAAACCTTTTCACGATATTTTAATTTTTAATTTGGGGTTTTCATATCTGTAATCCATAATCATCAGCATTATAACAATTCATTTATTTCACTTTGCATGAAATGAGTCTATATAATATATTAGTTTCACCTTTTAAGTTGTGAAATAAATGAACTTTTGCACAAGTTTTTCGAGTTTCAACTGTAGGTATTCTGTTAACAAAAAATGTTCTTGGGATATCGCATAAACGCACTCAAATGAGGTTGATACGTTTTTTTGTGCATAAACTACGATGGAAACACATTTACTGAATAAATCACTCGATGCGCAATAAAAACACCTGAAGACGCTTCAGATGCGCTCTGAGTCACGGTACATGATGGATTTGATTTGCTGGAAATATGATTTTGGAATCACTTCAAAAATGCAGTTCAGTCTGTCATATCGGCTACAGAACATTATAACGAGAACATCATTATGATTGTGTGTTTGGGACGTGGATTTTAATGGTGAGACTTTTTTTCTTGTAATCAGGCTCTTAAAACTTATATAAAAATTTGGTTTTAGATTTATCGGCCGATATATCGGTTATCGGCTTTCAAATATAAAGGATTATCGGTATCGGTAAAACGTTCCTATCGGTGCATCCCTAGAAATTCATCAGCTTTACTATATCGGCTACATCTTTTTTTATCAAGCCGATAAACATAAAGATGAACATATACCGGGCGATACCGATATTGTGGCTAGGGATGCACCGATATGAACATTTTGGCCGATACCGATAACCGATAATTCTTTATATTTAAAAGCCGATAACCGATATATCGGCCGATAAATCTAAATCCAATTTTTTTATAAATTTTGAGAGCCTGATTGCAAAAACAAAAGTCTCACAATTAAAATCCATTTCCCAATCACACAATTATAATGTTCTCATTATAATTTCCTGTAGCCGATATGACGGCACATTTTGCACTATATTTTCCTTTTTGATTCCAATCATATTTCAAGCAATTAAGATCATGTTGAACAGTGAATCTCAAATGTCAACTGTTGAAGGAAATAATTCATTATTTATCAGCTTTAATTTAATATATCAGCCAAATTTTATTATCGGGCCGATAACGATAACATAAAAATGAACAAATATCGGCCAATACCGATATGATGGCGATATATCGTGCACTAATTGTGGCCGATATAACGTGCATCTCTACTAAAACAGATTGAGTAAAATTGAGTCTTTTGGTCACGTAAACACAGGATTGGTTGACTAAGTATGATAAGGATCACTAGTTTTGTCACAAATCAAGAGTTTCCCTGCGTTAACCCATTTACCTCTGTGAGCAAACGGCCGCCTACTTTCCCGAATGTAAGTCAGATTTGTGTGCGGCTCATGAATATGCATAACTCACAGCGGGCGCCGGCTCTGGGCTTTCATGTATGATTCAGAGGCTTATGGAGACGCTCTTAAATATAGCCGTGAGGATGGAGCCGAGGGCCAGGCCGAGGGGCGGACAGGTGGACTTCACAGGAATTGGGTTACATAAACATTCGGGTCACGGGAGAGTTCCAGAAAACCGGCACAGCGGCTCAGCCAATCAGAGCGCGGCTCTGTGACCTCTGAACTCCGGCGAGAGGTCAAACCTCTTCAAGTCGAGTCAGCTTTATTTCTACAGCGCTGTTTACAATATAGTGTTTCAAAGCAGCTTTACAGAGATGATAATAATAATAATGCAACAAAGTTTGTCTAGAGAGAGGATCACATTATAAGTAAATGGTTCATTTTCGTTGTAAAAAGTTATTAATTTAGTTCATTAATATTTATAGATAGCCGCTCTGGAGAAAGCAGTGACTCATTTAATGGTGTCAATGCAGGAGGTATTTTTATATATAATATTGTTGAATATTAAATTAAGTTTCCGCTATTAAGAAAGGCGACCAAGGTGACGCAATGTTTCGTTCCCATTAGATAATACATTAATTTCTTACAGTATTTAACATATTTAACATTAGTCAATAAATTCAGGTCCATTAAATATTATCTATAGACTCAACTTAATGTATTATATTTAGGGCTGTGCAAAAATTATTTGCAATTAATCGCATCCAAAATAAAAGTCTGTGTTTACATAATATATTTGTGTGTGCTGTATATAATTATTTTGTATATATAAATACACACACATGCATGTATATATTTAAGAAAATGTGTTATTCATATATAAAATATTTATATTTATATAATATAGATTATGTATTTATATATATATATACAGAATGTAAGCGCAAATAATTCTTAAATATATACATGCATACATAGGTATTTATATATACAAAATAATTATATACAGCACACACAAATATATTATGTAAACACAGACTTTTATTTTGGATGCGATTAATCGCAATTAATTTTTGCACAGCCCTAATTATATTGAAATTAACAAAGCATTCAATCAACATTATCTAGTTTTTAAATGTTCCTGGAAGAACGTTTGTTCATATCTTTGCCAGAACTTTCAATCTCAATTTATTATATAAAGCACAATTTTAAAAATGTGCTGTGCAATGCTCTAAAACCAAAACCAATGAATACAAATAAAACCAAACCACCACAGACGAGTTACAGGCTCCAGAAAACAGATGTTTTTAAGTATAGATTCGAATATGCAGTTCTGATATGAGTGGGTAAACCGCTGCAGAGTTTGGGTTATGGGAAAGCTGGATTTCGACAGTCAGTTTGCCGGAGCGCTCCCTGTTCGCTGATGACGACGCAGGAATGGGCTTTTCACCGGTCTGAGGAATGTGAGCCTCAAAGAATTCTGGGAAGGAAATTCCTGCAGTGGAAGATAAGCATTCCAGCGTCAGGCTCTGTCGGACCTGAACACTGGCCGCTGTAGACGAGGCATCACACGTCACGCGAGTGTGTCATGCGTGACGGGTTACAGACGGGGAGACTCGAGTGTGTTTGCAGGGGATTATGGGAAAAGGACGTATTGACATGGCCTCGTTCTGCGGTCTCTGAGGAAGCAGTCTAGTTCCTCACACACACACACTCATACTCTCTCAATGTATGCTTAACAACTCAATGCCTTGAGTTGTTTAAGCCATAAAAAATAACATTTCTCATGCATTTCTGTTCCCCCCACCTGTCTCAATGCATTCTGGGATTCTGATCTGTGTGTGTGTGTGTGTTTTGCAGTGATCAGAGCTAAAGTGGTGGGCAAGAAGCTCCTGGATGACCGTCCGTTCGGGACCCTGCGCTACACCGTCAAACAGATGAAGGTGAGACCTGAGTCGGCCCAAACCCGCCACACCTTCGCTCATCTGCAGAACACGACTTTGTGATGTTTCCCATGAAACCCGGCGGCTCACGGCGGTTCACATGCACAGCTTGAGTTTCAGTCGGACTGAGCTCAGATCGCAGTGTTTACATGAGCGCTGAACATGTGATCGGGTCGATGTGTGTGTTTATACGTCACACGCTTCAAACCGGGATATATTCGAATATACAGAGTTTCTGCGCATAATAATGACTGGTTGTTTACTTGTTTTAAACAGCAGAATTAAAATTTATCCGTTTCTGGTCATAATTAGGAGTCGATGAGTGTATGAGCCGCTGCTTATGTTCATCATGCCCAGAACCGTCGTGTGTGTGTGTGTGTGTATGTGTGTGTGGATGAGTGTGAAGCCAGTGTCTGAGAGAACGAGGACTTTAGGATGAAGAGACACTCGTTTATTCAAGACATCGTTAAAATAGTCCATGTGACTACAGTGGTTCAACCTTAATTAATGAAGTGACGAGAATACTGTGCACAAAAAAAAGAAAAATCGGCTTTATTCAGTCATTTAATCTCCGAAGAGAACGAAAGACTGAATAATACAGTCGGTGTTAACTTTTTGTGCGGCAAAAAAACCCAATTCTCGTGGATTTTAGCTCTAAATATCTTATATCTTTAATGTCTTAATTTGTGTCCTGAACAGTGGTGGACGAAGTACTGAATCTCATTACTTAAGTAAAAGTACAAATACCCAGATAAATATTTACTTTAGTAAAAGTAGAAGTAACACAATGACAACCATACTTAAGTAAAAAGTAAAAAGTACTTTATTTTAAATGTACTTTAAGTATTAAAAGTAAAAGTACTTGCATAACAATTTATTATCTTAATGTCTATTTTCTAATGATTAATAAAACATTTAATTCTAACTCATTCAACCTAATACTCCTATAATGATGTTCAATAATGATGGAAAAAAATGTCACCATTTCTGAAACAAGCTTGCAATTAGGCAATATCATGCTTATCCTTACTATATGTTAATATGTTTGGCAGTAAACGCGATTCATTTATGGTGTAATTCTGAACCTCCTGGCTTGCCATAATCCTAACCAAACATATATTACACACGGTGTGTTTCCTATGCACGTAAAAACAAATTTTCGTGTATGAGTTGCACGATAAACACACTGCGTGTGAGACGCATTTAGTGTGACCGGGTTGATATACTGTATCTATGGCAACCAAACGTCACTGGTGAGACAAACGTGCAACGAACGGACGGTCAGATTACGTTTTGGCAGGGGAAAAACTGATCAGAAAATGTACGAAAATGTAACAGAAGTTGTAGAAATGTAGTGGAGTAGAAAGTATAATAATTGCTGCAAAATGTAACGATGTAAAAGTAAAAAGTATGCACTATTTATTCTACTTAAGTAAAGTAAAGATACGTGAAAATGTATTTAAGTAAAGTAACGAAGTATTTGTACTTCGTTACATTCCACCACTGGTCCTGAAGATGAGCCGACTGCTGATCACATGACCTGCGCTCCGATCACACGGCTCCTGTTGGATCTCCTGCTCTAGACTAAACACAGGCCTGAGACAAAACATCCCAGATGTGTTTATTCCCAGACAAGCTTCCAAACGAGCGCCCCGCTGCGCAGTGAATCGCCCCGTGACCCCCAACACACTGAAGAGCAGATTTACTTCTTTATATTGTATTTTATATTATATACTTTACTGTAAACATCTAATATATTATATATATATATCTAAATTGTATTGAAGTGTATATATTGCACTATTGTTGAATGCATTTCAATTGTCTTTTTTAGTTTTTACGACATTACACAGTTTTTTAGACTAGTGAAAGCTTTTGGTAGTCATTTAAACTCTTTTAAACTAGTTTTAAACTGCTTTTTGAGTCTAGTTTTAATTTTATACTAATTTATGCTTTTTAGCCTCGGTTAAGTTATTTTCGTACCAGTTTAATCACTTTTAAGACAAGTTTAAGCTCTTTTTAGACTGGTTAAAGTTAGTAATTTAAGCTTTTTGTTTAACTAGTCTAAAAACAACTTAAACTAGTCAGTGTTTAAACTAGACTTACAAAAAAGCAGTATAGTTTAAAACTAGTTTAAGTATTTTTTTAGACTAGTTAAAGTTAGTAATTTAAGTTCTTTTAAAATAGTTTTAAACTGCTTTTTAAGTCTAGTTTTAAACATTGACTAGTTTAAAATTTGTGATTAATTTATGCTATTTTAAGTCGATTTCAGACAAGTTTAATCACTTTTCATACTTGTTTAACTCTTTTTAGACTAGTTAAAGTTAGTCATTTAAGTAGTTTTAAACTAGACTGCATTTTAAGTCTGACTAGTTTAAGTTATGATCTTTTTAGCCTATATCTGTCTCTCTCTCACACACACACCTAACCCTAACCCACACAGACGTTTTTCTCCTCAGATATTCCCACTGAAGGTGAGAGCATTTTATCACTTAAACCGGCTCCTGAATTGTGTGTTTTGTGTTAATCTGTTGTAGATGTACAAGGGCTTCGACAAGATCCAGCATGTGCAGTACATCTACACACACAACTCCGATAGCATGTGCGGAGTCAAGTTTGACATCAACAAATACCAGTACCTGATCACAGGTGAGACGCCGCCATCATCATACCCTTGTGCAACTTTTTCTGTCTTGTCTTCTTGCCTGTGTTAGGACATGTTGGCACAGGTGTGTGTTTATATTGAAATTTTACTATCTCTCACCCCCATTTCCTTTAATAAATCTATTTTGCAGCAGAAACACACAATAGTTCCTCTCAGGACCTTCAGCACAAACATGTCCCCATTAAAACTGCAATTTTTAATCACATGGCCATTTAACTATAAAATGATGCAGTCTTTGTTAACAGGCTTTCATTCTGCGCCAAAATCTGCCGGCATAAATCTGCCGTCTCCTGAACCAGACTCGTGTGTGTGTGTGTGTGTGTGTGTGACCAGCTGAGGCTCTGTGGCGTTCCGGAGATCATCTAAGAGCGAACCATCATGTGACGCGCAGCTGTTCTGATAATAAGACACAAACAGTCGAATATAACCGGCTAACTGCTTAATCTAAGCCGAGAGAGGGGATATCTCAGAGGAACACTCGTGTAAACACACGTTTTCTGGAGTATATCGACTCTTTTCTTCGAATACTCATGCAATAAAATGGGTTCTTGTTTTCCCTTTGAATTAAGATTTGTTATTGTTTTTCTGAATAATTTTGCTTTAAGGAAAAAAATCACTTAATTTGTATTAGTTTTTTATCAGAAAACAAGTTTATGTCATTTTACTCCTCTAGTTTTTAGATATTTATACTACAGACAGTGTAGCGGCTGCATTACATGTGCTGTAAGTAAGCTTGAGCTTGGAGGAATGTGTGTCCCTGTCTGAGACCGGCCTCTGGTGTGTTCGCAGGTCGTGTTCACGATGGGAAGGTTTACACCGGCCTGTGTAACTTCAACGAGCGCTGGGAACGCCTGTCTCTGGCCCAGAAGAAGGGCATTAACCACCGCTACCAGCTGGGCTGCAACTGCAGGGTGAGGTTTTTATGAAGTTATTTCACTTATTTAATAAGATTATGCCTTTCATCATCTGTTAATTAAAAAAGACTCGTTGTGTTTGTTTGCTTGGTTTTATTGTATTTAGATGATATTTGTATTTTTGCCATGAAAATAGCCTCAGATGCTGACTATATATCTAATATCCGTCCAAACGTCTAGGCTGAAACAAAGCAAACTTTGGGCTGTCAGTGACGTCTGAACCATCGCCCAAAATAGACTCGTCATCGATTAGATACAGAAATGAAATACGTGGAGAAATGAAATGATGGAATATCATACATCTCGCAAGTTACTTTGGCAAAAACAACATGTAACCAAATTCGCCAGAAGTGTGTTACTCACAGCCGGGTCTATAGGAAACCTAGATGGGGAAATGACTGGGCAATGTCATCCATCAGATCCACACAGGATCCAGATGTTTGGCACCAGGATTAAACCGCTAGTTCAGAAGCCAAACTCAAACGGGTTTGGACTCAGATCTGAGACACAGAACCACAGATCATCCCTGGATCCGAGCGCCGCCCATCTGTGCAGCAGTAAACACGCGGCGGCACGAGTTAAAGCACAACCATGTGGTATTATGACGATAACGAACACAGAATTCCTAAAAAAACACTTTTTAAATTATTAAAATGTAACTAGAACTCACAGAACTGGCATGAAAACAGACCACGCAGAATTTAGGAAAATGAAATGGACCTAAAATGAATTTTTTTGATGTCAAATAATTAGAAATGTTTTCTGATTGCACAATTTGATTTAACGATGCAGACATACGCTTCAGTCTTCCTTAAACACCACTGACAGTTCATGATTATTTCATGCATATTTGTTCACAGATAACAAGTGCGTCTCCATAAAGACTTGGAGCGATCGCTTCTGAATGGCCTGCAATTATGAAACACCTGGAAACTGTCATTCACCAGATGCCTTTTAATCCGTCTACTTTCACTCGTACGCATTTCGAAAGCACTGACATGAAGCTGCTGGGCTTTTTAGAAGACCAATAAAAGACTAATAAAATGAATAATGCATGGGTGTGTAGAGCTACGTCTAACATCATAATCCATAAAATAACTTTACAGGTCAAATAATACAGGTTATGACCGAAACAAAACGTTTTATCCGCTCAAATCTCCTCATATTCTCCATTGTTGCGGCTCCTCTCTTGCCAGTCAGTCAGTAACGCTCTGTTTACTTCCTGTCTCTATGAAGCCCCTCCTTCTGAAAAGCACACTGTGCTCTGATTGGTTGGTCGGCTGGAGCAGTGTGTCGTGATTGACCGAGCGCTTCGAGTGTGTTTGGGAAATGTCCCGCCCCTTTCCATAACCGCCAGTTTCAACCATAGACTGTATAATTATGTGCGTAGTGTGTGTGTGTGACGTCACCCGTAGTGTTTCTGAAGCCCAAAGTGGGTGGAGCCTGCAGTCGCCATCTTGGCAGCACGTCACTAGACGACAAAAATGAACCATCACTGACTCTATTCTCTTCTAGAAACAAACTATGTTGCATTATTGTCCTGTAATCTCTGTAAAGCTGCTTTGAAACACTCGAAACGCTGACTTGACTTGACACACACTTTCCTCTGTTTGCAGATTAAGCCGTGCCACTCCCTGCCCTGTTTCGTGACCTCGAAACACGAGTGCCTGTGGACCGACATGTTGTCCCACTTTGGATACCCCGGGTATCAGTCCCGACACTACGCCTGCATTCAGCAGAAAGAGGGTTATTGCAGTTGGTACCGAGGGATGACCACACGCGACAAAGTGACCATCAACACCACCGACCCCTGAACCCCGACCCCTGACCCCGCCCTGACCCCCGATGACTAACTGCCCCACATCGGATCACGTGTGTGTTCAGCAACGGGTCATGTCAATTAGATGAAACGTGAGGCCTGGAGTGTTACCCAGCTAACTAAAACATGTTCGAAGAACGTTTCGCTAACGCTAATGTTCCGTGACGTTCAAGCGTTTAAAAAAAGCGTTAAAATTGTATCATTCTTCACACATTATGGAACGCTCCTTTTAAACGTTCTAAAGCAAGTAGAAAAACGTTACATTTAAAAACAAACATCAACTGAAACATTTCAGATAAAAAACAAATAGTCAATAAATAGAGAATATTTTTGCGCTAAAGTTTTGAGAACATTATTAATAAGCAGATAACGTTTGTTTATTACTTTTTGCTACCGTTCCCATTACGTTATGAGAACGATAATGTTCCACCAATGTCCAGTTTCTTATTAACGTTAAGGGAACATTAACATTGTATCATTCTTCAAACATGAACTTTCTGAAACAAGTTGCAACATTTAAAAAACGTTAACAAACGTAAAACTGAAATGTTTAATTAAAAAAAAAAAAAATACTGTCAAACCAAACATTATACAGACACCAGATATAATTTTTAATATTTTGTTTCACTCGTGTGATCAGGACACTATAGCTCATTATGTAAGTGAGGAGAGCAAAATAAAGTAAACTGGGATATATTACACACAAATATTCTTCATACAGCGACTACCAGTGACATTTGGGACCAATAATGACTCCTCCACTTTGAGCTGAAGTGTGTTTTCTTTAATTGCTAATGCTCTTTTTACACACACACTGAACAACATGAAGCATTGCTTGGTCACTGGTTGAGCTAAACTGGTATTCTCTAATTGTGTAGTTCAATTTAACAGCTGACAGATATTCAACATAATTCATGTGTGAGAGTCCAACAGAAGGACGGACAAAACCAGTCACACATCCACTGATCTGAGACCATGTTTATCACCCCTTTCTAAACTATAGCGGATAAACTGATGATGCTGGTTTGACTGTATTAAGAACGTTTTGAGCTTGAGAACAGTATTAAAGACCAGATAACTTTGAATGAACGTTCCATTAATGTTGTAAGAGCGTTTGTTCATAACGTTGAGAGAACATTCCCTGTTAGCTGGGTAACCCCAAACGAAACGATCCTTATTAGCACGACCCACTGAGATATGAAGTAATTTATGAATGCAATAATACCGCTCTTTTATAGTGCTGTATTGCTTTTAAACATGATTTAAATGATATAAATTGTATATGTACGCAGATAAATGTCATGTGCCAGATTTATACTGTTCGGTATATATTTATGATGCTCGTTCCAGCACAAGCGAAGAGCGATCCGTGCGTTCGACTCTTTCCTTCTTGCTGTTTATGATATAAGCTATGAAATTGTGAGTAGTATTTTTTTATTATTTTAAAACAAAGATTATAATCAGTAGATAAATCATCTTCATATCCATATCTTTTCTACATCTAGACCTCGCTGATGAGAGAAATCTAATGCTTCGTCGATCCATTTTCTAAATGGAAAAGTAAACATTCATCCTGATTCTGAGGGTACCGAATATGAATCAAGCACAATAATCGTGCATCGATATTGAAATAAAGCACATCAGAACTGCTAGAATAATCATTTTATACCACTAAACTCATGTTAATTTCATCAGAATTTCTGCTCCATTCCTCATTTGGAGGCTGAGACGGAAAAACACTAGTTAACTGCTGGTTTAAGCCCTTGAACACTAGTTACAGTAACTGCTGGTTTAAGCACTTGAACACTAGTTAACTGGTGGTTTAAGCACTTGAACACTAGTTAACTGCTGGTTTAAGCACTTGAACGCTAGTTAACTGCTGATTTAAGCACTTGAACACTAGTTAACTGTTGGTTTAAGCATCTGAACGCTAGTTAACTGCCGGTTTAAGCATCTGTACGCTAGTTAACTGCCAGTTTAAGCACCTGAACGCTAGTTAACTGCTGGTTTAAGCTTCTGAACGCTAGTTAACTGCCGGTTTAAGCATCTGAACGCTAGTTAACTGCCGGTTTAAGCTTCTAAATTGCTAGTTAACTGCCGGTTTAAGCATCTGAACACTAGTTAACTGCTGGTTTAAGCATCTGAACGCTAGTTAACTGCCGGTTTAAGCGTCTGAACGCTAGTTAACTGCCGGTTGAAGCGTCTGAACACTAGTTAACTGCTGGTTTAAGCGTCTGAACGCTAGTTAACTGCTGGTTTAAGCACTTGAATGCTAGTTAACTGCTGGTTGAAGCTTCTGAACGCTAGTTAACTGCTGGTTTAAGCACTTGAACGCTAGTTAACTGCTGGTTGAAGCATCTGAACACTAGTTAACTGCTGGTTGAAGTTTCAGATAACATTAGTTAACGGCTGGTTTAATCGTCTGAACACTAGTTAACTAGACGTTCGGTCTCAGCCTCCAACTCAAGTTTTTATAACAATATTTTGTGTACGTAACACAAACTTGCTCAGACCAGACCTGTTTTACTCTCACTGAAGAATCTGAAAGCTTGTGTAAAATGTGTGTGTGTGAGAGAGCGAGAGAGAGAGAGATTACCATTTTTCAAGTAGTAGCTTTTCGAAGAATGTTTCGATTTTTAATTTCTCTGTTTTATATTTTTATAATAAAGATTATGAAAATGGCTCTGTGACTCCATCTCGTCATTATTGTTCTCGGAGGACTAGTTTAAGTAGTTAAAGCGGTGACTCACCATCTGTGTGTGGTTGGGGAAGAAGGTTTGCTCATTGAGTGGGAACTTCTCTGGACCCAGACTCTGATAGAGCTTGATCATGTGAGAGAACTGCAGAAGGACGACACAAACACACATCAACACAAGCGTTTTTATGTTCCTGAGAGATTCATAATTATAATGAACACAAAGTTTGTCTTCATCTTCCATCAAAACTCAATCCGCCTCTAAAAACGACTTTAGTATCACTTTATGTGAAGCCTATAAAGTATTTTAGTAAGTTCCCATTAGTTAACGATTAATGCACTAACATTAACTAACAACCAATAAATTTAATTCAATATTCACCATTCTTTGTTTGTTAGTAAATAAAAATACAACTGTTCATTCTTAGGCCATTTTAGCTTTTAAATAATATTAACAGATATAACTTTTGATTTAAATATGTATAAGTAACATTAACTAAGATTAATAAATGGTTTATTTCATGTTAACTAATGTAGAAAATATATTAATTGATGTATGGTCTTTATAATAAATAGTCTTTGGGGAAAGAAATATTTTTGAATAATATTTAATATAAATCTAAATTGAGAACTTTTGCAGTGTAACACACTTTAGTGTGACTGCTCTCGGTGTAAACGGATAGTAAACGCACCACCCAGGGTTTGCTGCAGAAGTTATAGATGGAGAAGAGCGAGTTGACGCTGGGAACGGCCCCGTAGTGCAGGCCGATCACGAGGCTGCGGAAGTCCTCACCCGGGGTCATGCTGTAGGCGTGCTGGCGGACCAGCACAAAATCTGGCTTGAACGATCTGGAGAGAGAAGAACTAAATCAGGGACGCACATAATCATTTAAAAGCATTTCATTCACAAGTATAAATGAGGAGCACATCTACTAAAGCAGTTAACTGTTGTCTGAACGCTAGTTTACTCCCAGTTTAAGCGTCTGAACGCTAGTTAACTGCTGTATTAAGCGCTTGAACGCTAGTTAATTGCTGGTTTAAGTGTCTGAACGCAAGTTAACTGCTGGCTTAAGCATCTGAACGCAAGTTAACTGACGTTTAATCGTCTGAACACTAGTTAATCGCTGGTTTAAGCGTCTAAACGCAAATTAACTGCTGGCTTAAGCGTCTGAACGCAAGTTAACTGCTGGTTTAAGCGTCTGAACACTAGTTAACTGACGTTTAAGCGTCTGAACACTAGTTAACTGCTGGTTTAAGCGTCTGAATGCAAATTAACTGCTGGCTGAAGCGTCTGAACGCTAGTTAACTGCTGGTTTAAGCATCTGAATGCTAGTTAACTGCTGGTTTAAATGTCTGAACCCTAGTCAACTGCTGGCTTAAGCGTCTGCATGCTAGTTAGCTGCTAGTTTAAGCGTCTACATGCTAGTTAGCTGCTAGTTTAAGCATCTGCACACTAGTTAGCTGCCGGTTTAAGCACCTGAACGCTAGTTAACTGCCTGTTTAAGCACCTGAACACTAGTTAACTGCCGGTTTAAGCATCTGAACGCTAGTTAACTGCCGGTTTAAGCGTCTGAATGCTAGTTAACTTCTGGTTTAACAGCACCGTCATTATTACTGTTATCCCCGTAGAAATCTCTCATTATGCAATACTATCACAAAATATTGGATTCAATCTTTTTTGAAAGTATCTAGAAATAGAGCAGATGATGATTACAGACTGAACAGAAGCACTTAAAGCGCCTGTGTGTTCGAGGAACGCAGAAGAATGTGCAGCAAATGATCTGATTGAGACGGAGCGCAGCAGCTGCACCATCATATCTGTCACTGCGCGGACATGTGCTGAGAAACACACAGATAAACGCACAAAAACACCATTATGAAGATCCACGTCAGAGGCTCAGAATCCAAACATCTACATTCAGTCTGACCAGTGTGTTTATCATCACCCGTTTCCTCCAGTCATTGAAATAGCTTTTTTTAAGTGCAAATTCTTTAAAAACAAGATACATTTACTTATCATACTTAGATTTGCAAAGATTGTCTCAATGATGCGTGTGTGTTTTGTCTTGCTGTACTGATTTTTTCACCTGTTTAATACAAACAAGTTAAAACAAGTGAATGATCTTCCAGTGCAGAAAGACAAAACACACCGATATAAAACACACAATCTATGAAAACAAGTCTTGATATCATATCGTCCTTACTCCAAGGATACTTTACCTTGAAAACAAGACAAAAATACTTACTAAGAACAGGAATTATTTTTTTGCATGGCAGCATCACAAAAAAGTGAGAAAATGAGCCGCTTTCAGTGTGTAAAATTGTTTCGCTTTTGTTCACTATACCTCAGAAATTAATACTTTAATTCATCAAGGACGCGTTCAATTGATCCAAAGGGACAGTAAAGACATTTATAATGTTACAAATTTTTCAGATAAATGCTGTTCTTTTGAACTTTACATTCATAAAAAAATCCTGATAAATAAAATGTATCACTATTTTCAACACTGATAATAATCATAACTGTTGATCATCAGATCCTCATATTAGAGTGATTTGTGAAGGATCATGTGACACTGAAGACTGGAGTAATGATGATAAATTCAGCTTTGATCACAGGAATAAATTACACTTTACTGTATATTCACATAGAAAACATTTTAATTTTGATTTACATTATAATAATATTTCATTGTTTTCACTGCATTTTTGATCTGCTGCTGACCCGACTTTTGAGAGACTGAATTACACCACAACTATTAATAGTGGCTTTTATTAAACTAGTATAAGATGTCTGGTTAAGTGAGGCAGGTATAAATAATCACACTGACTCCATGTGTTTGGCAGATGATGGACATCTG